TCCCCCCCAACCACACTGTTGGCGGGTCTGTCTGTGTGTCTTTCCCCCCCAACCACACTGTTGGCGGGTCTGTCTGTGTGTCTTTCCCCCACCACCACACTGTTGTGGCAGGTCTGTCTGTGTGTCTTTCCCCCCCCACCACCACACTGTTGGCAGGTCTGTCTGTGTGTCTTTCCCCCCCACCACCACACTGTTGGCGGGTCTGTCTGTGTGTCTTTCCCCCCCACCACCACACTGTTGGCGGGTCTGTCTGTGTGTCTTTCCCCCCCCACCCACACTGTTGGCAGGTCTGTCTGTGTGTGTTCCCCCACCACCACACTGTTGGCAGGTCTGTCTGTGTGTCTTTCCCCCCAACCCACACTGTTGGCGGGTCTGTCTGTGTGTCTTTCCCCCCAACCAACACTGTTGGCGGGTCTGTCTGTCTGTGTTCCCCCCACCACACTGTTGGCGGGTCTGTCTGTCTGTGTGTGTTCCTCCCCCCACCACACTGTTGGCGGGTCTGTCTGTCTGTCTGTGTCTACCCCCCCCCAACCACACTGTTGGCGGGTCTGTCTGTCTGTGTGTGTTCCCCCCCACCACCACACTGTTGGCGGGTCTGTTTGTGTGTCCCCCCCCCCCACACGGCGGGTGTGTCTGTCTGTCTGTGTATCTCCCTCACTCTCCTTTTTTTTATGTGTCTCTCACTGATACTCTGTTCTTATCTATCTCGACTTGTTCTTATTGGTCCCTCAGAACACATCTGTCTATATTTCAAATTTCTTTGTGCAATTATTTCGGAGTTGATCTCAAAAGCCACGTTTGATATAATTTTAAATTAATACATTTTGGTTGGTTTAAAAGAAAACCTGATCTAATAAATATCTGTATCTAATTAATTCGGACATCTAAGTATCTTAACGACACTGCCTATTAATATCTACCCAGATATATTTACCCCTGATTGAGCCGTGTATATATCTGGAAAGAACCAAATTCAGCGTGTGCGCGCGCGCAAGAAGTTAATCTCTTAATAATACGAAAGTGACGTTGCTCATCATATATTTTCCGGTGATGTCTACATTCAAACAGGGGAGAGACTGAAAAACAATTAACATAACCCCAAGCAAGTGTTAGAATAATCTGATTTGAACGTCGTTAACAAATTAAAACCTACTTTCATTAAGCAACTTCAAATAAAAACATAAAGATAGAAAAATTGATAAAAGCATCAAACACTCGTTCAAACTGATTTCTTTAAGAATTGGCAGATCGCAAAAGACATGACACTTACAATTAAAGTATATTCACAAGTCTCCCAGCTTTTAGAAAAGGAAAACCAAGAATCGAATGTAAAGTTAGAAAGATAAAAATATAGTTCTAGCGGACTTATACCGCTTTCAAATGCGTGCTAAGGCGTGCGTGATTGAAAGAATTCGCACGATAGGAGAGAAAAAGAAATTCTGTGAAATCAGAAATATGTAAATCGATCGCCTGGTTAGGATTATTGGAGCGTACATTATATTTTTTTATATAAATGATAAAAAAAAGATACTTGGCCCTGGTTATTTGTTCATTTTGTTTTTCTAATTTATATGCGCATGCGCACTTGGTTATAGCTTTCATTGATAAGAGAATGTTATACCCGCAATATAACTGCGCTTATAGATTGGTGGTTGATTTGGTCAAGCGCTCCACACATACACACACAATATTTTTAGCATGCAGTTATCGTATATTTATATCATTGCAAATATGTTATTTCATTTAATATAAATATGCATAATGTGTCATCTTATAAAGTGCATATATTTCTGAAAATCGCGTTTGCATGCTAAAAACCCTCTCTTTATCGATATGCCTGATCTATCGACTTAGCTAGCTCTTTCTCCATATCTCGGGTAATTTCTTTCTTCACATTTAACAAAGTTTTGTCAATATATTCATAAAGATTCAGAGCTATTTAAACACTCACGCACTATATATATATATATATATATATATATAATATATATATATATATATATCTCTTTTGAAATAACAAAGGAATTAAGGAATTACTTCAGGTGACTTCGAAGGTAGCGTTGGGAATGTATTCATTAAGCTATGTAATTTTAAAATCGTCCGATTACATGCAGTATATCTATATAATATATATGTAAATGTAGAGAGCCCGGCACAAATATTTGGAGAATTTACAGAGATTTGATCAATATAGTCATCTGTAAGTAAGCGTACCAAGCTTAAAAGATCCACCTAATTGAGATTACCATTAAGATTCTAATGAATACCACTACTGATAGAAGCCACCCGGAAAAATAAAGCAACAATAATCTTTTGTCAAGACACTGGAACAAGTATATCTCTGGTTTGAATTATATTAGAATCGGTAATTTAAATATAGAATGACTTACGCCAATGTTTCCTACATTGAACGAAAAAAAATCTATTGTACTTTCTATTTAATCATTTCACCCCAGTCAAGGTGATAACCCCACTAAAATGCAAGGGGTCACAGTAGGTGAAAGAGAATGAGAAGACTTTTGTGAGGAGAAAGGACAAGAATTAACAGGTTTCAGGAAGATGGTTGAATTAAATCTTCAAAGATTTTAGTTGACTAGAAAGCGAGGAATTAGAGAAACAATATTAGGATAGAACATACGGTTGCATGTAGTTTTAGTTCAATACTAAAACGGTGAGACCTAATTGCCACTTTAGTCGTGCGCTTAAATTCACGAAGTAGAGGCACCAAGAACAAGACCTCTCCAGAACAGTTATCATGAAATATATATATATATATATATATTAAAAAAAAAAAAACACGGATGGAAGCCAGGTCACAGCAATGGGAGAGTGACTTACTTCGAGTCGAGTTGCCAGGTCAAGTTGATACAAAGAACTGTTTGAAATATGGAAAATGTTCGATATATATGGCAAAGAGGATAGAGTAACTATTACTGAGAACAAGCATACTGTACTAGGGCAGGTCGATTTTGGAAGCTCAGTTATTGAACTGAATTTGGAAGTCGGGGTTTGAAATAATGAATAATGAGAGAAAATATTTTTTCCAAATACTTAGCGTTTTTTTTTTTAGGAGACGATTTTTAAGATTAAGTTTAGTTTCGAAGTCGCAGCGTTGGAATTTCATTCCGGTGATCAGTGAAAGCCTTAGAGCACACCCTTATAATTTACTGAAGCTTTAGAAATTGTATATGAGCACATTATTATTAAATCATCTGTCTCTATTTCTGAGAATGAGGTATTATGTATATTATTTACATTATTCGGACTACTGTCCTCATCTTTGTCGCCATATTTATTACGATGTTTCGAACGGGGCGTACAACGACCGAAACGTTGTAATAAATATGGCGACAAAGATTAGGACAGTAGTCCGAATAATGTATCAAATCATCGTCATCAAATAAGATTTTGTTACTTCAAACGGAAATTATACTGAAAAATTTAGCAATGCTCTGATGTCGTGTTATACAATACAGTAGTTTTAGTGTCTTTTTCCAATAAACAATGCAAATTTAAAACATTTTGTCTTATAATTTCTGATCAGCAGTACTATGGTGTCGTATACACTTTTATCTATTTTTTGTTTTTATTTACTAGCAGTAGAGCCCGGCGTTGCCCGGGATGTAACAGTAAGAGTTAGATCAAGTATCGACCATCATAAAAACTGAAATATAAAATTGACAAAGATTATTGTCTAAGGTTGACGTACAGAAAAAAGTGTGCAAGACAATAAGAAACACTACCTGCCAAAAACAAGTTTTGTTAAAATCGGTTGAAAAATGTAGGAAATCTGATCCCATATATAAACGCACACACACACACACACACACAACCTGGGTTTTATAATAAATATAACTCGATATGAGTTGTCCCCCTTTCATTCTGGCGACAGAACTGTTTTTTATCGTGTTTTCAAATTGATTTCGTGCAAAAACAATTGTTTTTCCAATTTCTGGCGCTGTCAGAACCACCGCAAGGTAATTTAACGCAGTCCTGTGAAGTTTTGTTGAAATCGGTTGAAAAATGTAGGAAATCCGATCCAATATTTAAACGTACACACACACACACACACACACACACACACACACACACACAATCTGCGTTTTATAATAAGTAAGATGATCTAATAAATCTTATTCTTTAAGTAGCATTTTTTGTAATCTGTAATTTTGTAATTTTTTTTCTTTTTTATACAGTTTTTACTTATTGAATGCAATAAAGAAATTGCATATTTCGCTTGTGGTGATTCATAATTATAATTCTGGTTTGAATATATTTTCTATTCAATTATTTAATACAAAAAATATAAAATTTATTTGGAATTATTCTTGAAATAGTTACATTTGGAAGTCATTTTGTAAGCAAAACCTTGCGAAAATTTGGTACTTTTGTGTATATTTTTTTTCAGATCTTTAAAACTAAATGCTCAAAATTTGGCAAAAGTTATGCATCTAATCATTGGTGTCGCTACTTACCACATTAAATTCCAGCTTTCATATTGAGTCCAGTATTGATTTCTCCTGGAAAGTGAAAACTTAAAGTGTCCTAATGCTGCAGGCGTTTAGAGAAATAATTCACTAAATACACAAAATAGAAGAAAAATAACACACCGATACGTTTTATTGCATTTGACCTGTACAGGACGACGACCTTAACAGATCGAGAAATGCCATCGTGTAAGACACTGTCAATAGTAGTTTCAGAACAGAAGCTGAAATTCTTAGACCATGTATTACTGGACAGCGAGAAGAAAGGACTATTAAAAGTATCACATAAGAACTACACACTCGCACTTACTGAAAGAACAACCAACTTTCCCAACACGCCCAACTTCATACATTATAAAACATTTTGACTGAATGTACAGCTATTGCTCACTTTAGAAACATATTTCAATATAAATAAAAATAAACCGTAAAACAAATCAACCAACCAACTATTAACAGTAAGAAAACAAAACATGATCCTAAGCAAAGAAAAGGCATCCCAAAATGTAAGCTACGTATTGGAGACGTTAAATTGTATTAGGTACACTCATTTATCTATATACAAAAAGATGACTAGAAGTGAATTAAAAAAAAATCCGAAGGCGAAGAGGAACGGTGAAAGATGCCTTATTAAAATTGAAATTAACCAAGAATTAAGACAAAAGTAGATATCGTTAGAAATAAAGAAAATAGTGCTTAAATACTGTATAATATATAATATCTAATATCCCATATTACAGGTAATGCCTTTTCACGGATGAGATAAATTGAATCAAAAAAATCCTGGTCTAGAACGGATGCTACGGACAGAATATATGAGAAGTGAAGAAATACTGAGGACAAAATGATGAAATAAAGACATTTATACGTAAAATCCGAAGGAGAGAATTGAACTCTCTGGGAGACGATGAAGAAATCGGACCTTGAATTTTCACCTATCGTAAAGAATGGATGTTCTCCCAATTTGGCCTGGTGTCTTGAGTGCCTATTTGGAGTTAAGCTCAATTGAGTGGAACATGTACAGACGAACAATCGCTAAAGATTATTAAAAAAAATGGTAGGTTCCCTGTACCGATCCTCTTGCTATCCTCTGCATCTAGAAGAGGCCAGATCAGGCCGAAAATGGAATACTGCTGCCAGGCGTTGCCCAGCCTTCACAGTCTAGTCTCGATAGGGTTAAAAAAATGTCCTCACATCTTTGTGGAGGGGGAATCATTTTCCGCCGTATATCGCCTCCCCCCACACACACAACGTCTCAAGCCTCTGTTCTATCGCTATTTCCATGGCAAGTGTTCAGACAAACTACCTTTAAGACCTGCCATGCTACGCACATTGTAACGAATCACCTTTATATTCCAGAGACGAGATGTACGTTCCACTTGAGCAGCGTCTTCCCACGAACTGTGTTTTGTGGAACCGACCTCCAAGAGGATGTTTCCTCGATCACAAAAAACTTAACCTGTTCAAGTCAAGGGTTAACCATTATTTTTCCCGTAAATCCGCATAAAATATCCCTCTTACTCTGTAACCTTTTAACTCGAGTGGCTCTCGGGCATTGTACAAACTACCATCACAACTAAAACCCGCCATTTGATGCGCATTGTAGCGAACAATCTTCATTCTCTTTATATTCCGTTTGTTACATGCGAATTCAACTCGAGTAGCTCCTTTCCCCCGAACAGCTGCACGGTTTTTAATTTTCAACCGGTGATCTTGCATTAACGGTATTCTCTATAAAGCTGTACGGCCCCAAACAGAATTTTTCGCAAATCTTTTGCAGTGCCGAACAACGCAATCTAGTGAAGCGATTACGTAATAGGTTGTATTCCGATTTTCTTAATGTAGAACTTTAACATCGGTAGTATTGACCTCAACGCCCCAATGATAACTGGGACAATCGTGGGCTGAATTGTCATTTCAACTGTAAAATAATGAGACCTAACTGCCAATATAGCACTGCGTTTTAATTCGTAACGTCATTTATAGAAAAAAACAGAAGGTACCTTATGACAGTAGGAAAGTGAGTGAATATGAGATTTTAGGTTAGGCTCAATAAAATTGCAGATTGATTTTTTTTTTTTAAATTTTGCCAAGGATCTCTAAATTTCTTAGCCGAAACAGCAGATAAGATGCTATAGCGATATTCAGTCTCAATTTTCTCCACTTGAATGATAACAGTATTGTCTATATTTCTGAGATGAGGTATTATGTACACTATTTACATTATTCGGACTATTGTCTTCATCTTTGTTGCCATATATATTACAACGTTTTGGCCGTTGTACGCTCCGGCCTTCTTCAGGTGGTTGGAATGTCGAACTGAAACCTTTATTTCTCTCACTCGGATAGACTGTTCTAGTTCCACTTGCCATGTCTAATGGGTATCAATTATAGCCTGTTTAATTCCTTCTCCAAGTTCTCCACTGCCTTCAGCAGGTATTGAACGCACAGTTTTGGGGTCCTGTCAGTAGTTCTAACTAACGCCTTTATCCCCTGTGCCATGTGTCTTTCAGCACATCTGTTTATGCATTTCAGGGTATTATAAAACAAATGTCATCAGCATTCACTTTTTTTTTTACCAGAGCTCATATTGCACTTTTTGTTGTTATCGCTTTTCTCTGGCACTCCTTATTACTGGTTCCCATATTTTACTCATTTCTATGCTTGGTCAGCTCACATTTTTGTGGCCTAGCATATTAGTATTAGTCGCGAATTATTGTAAAATATTTAACAACCATGATCCGCCAAACGATTTCCTGGAAAACGGCTTCACGTATTGAGAATATCATTCCGTTTTCCTTCCAAAATAAGTGACGTCTGGAGTTCTTCTGAATTTTCCGAAGATGAACTTGAATCAAACTTTCCTCCTGACTCGCAACCATCAAAGGAAATTTCCATTATCTGGTATTCCTATGTGTTCCTCAGATCTAAAGAATGGCAACTTTCTTTCTGTCAGGAATTATACAGTAGTTACCTGAAGAAAGTTGAAGCCAAATACTTGCTTCTTCTTTGATTAGTTTTTCTTGTAATTCATCAATAGAATTTTTTCGGCAGATAATATTTGTTGTAGTTCACAGTAACTGAGCAAGACTAGCAAATACTGTTTTGAAATTCTCATCTCCTCGTCCAGTATATTCCGTCAGTTATTGAAACCACAAGTTGGAAGTGCATTTGGCAGTGCTATAAGAAAGGATTACGGCAGTAACATAAGATTCCATCAATTGATAGAAAGTATATTAACAATTCTACAATTTTACTAGTTTTCATTTGACTTCAATTTTAAATAATCTGTTATTACATGTTTGTTATAAATATTATTTAAATAAAGATAGCATCTGGTCGAGCGTAATCACTTTCCGACCACGTTAATATTTAAATAAATGGAACAGATCTTTGTTTTTTATATTCTATCTGGTAAAACGTCGTTGCTTTCTGAACAGCCTATACTTACCTGGTATCTGCCGGGGAAATGACGAGCTAAGACTAGATTTGTGACCTACGCCACGCGAGCGGGCTTTGGATAAAAATTGGCCAATATTTTGACCGGTGATCTGAATATATGCGGTCGTGTACCCCACGTTAAACAACTGACCTTGTAACATATCACATCTCAGTGGTGAGACGAGGTAAATACCCTTACCTGGCGTATGTCGGGTAGAATTTATCATCTCTCAGTTGCGTCTCTGTCTTCGGGCAGAGTGCGACTCAGTTGTGGCTCTGTCTGCGGTCAGATGCAACTGATGAAAATAAATTCTGCAAGGTTCCTATCCTGGGGGACAGCTGAGGACTGCACCTCGCATAGAACTAGAGAAGGGGAGCAGTAGTGCAACCGATGGTTTCGGGGGCTGGAGCAATTTTTCTCCTTGACCAGGGTGTACGCGCTCGGGTTTCCCACGTTAAACCCGACCTTGTGCCCCATCCGTTCTCAGTGGGGATAAACTAATAAATACCTACTTACGCCCACATCACGTTAAAACACCAGTTCCCGTACGCACAGAAGTTAAGCAACATCGAGTATGATCTGTACCTAGATGGGTAACCACTTGTGGATCCCTGTAAGCTTTGATGTTTGGTGGTGTTATGGATAACCGTTTGGAATTTTTAATCGGAGTGCCAAGTTCCAATTTCTATTGGTTTTCTTGTATTTACTTTGGGGCAAATGAATCCACCTCTACTCTCCTCCAGCTAGAGATTAAGTTGTAAAACTTGTATAATAAACCATTCACAAAAAGAAAAAAAAATCTTACAATATAAAAATATTTTATGGCTTTAAATAACCTGAAAATGGTTCATAAGCCGTAGGAAATGAATGATTGATTTATCCATTCAGTCTGAACATAACAATGCTTAAGTAAATTTAAATAAGATTTGTTTTTATATTCTATTTGGTAAAACGTCATTACTATCCGAAAACAGTAATAGTTAAATTGTGTTGACTTACAATATCTTTTTGGTAAAAATGTAATTACTTCCAAAATACACCTTATGCCGTAATAAATTTGCCTTACTGATTATATCCTTCTGGCAAAACGTAATTACTTTTCAAACTAATGTTAAAAAAATAACAACAAAAAAAAACTTACATTTTTAATACATATTTTGGTAAAACGTAATTAGTTTCAGATATGTATAATATAAAATGTATAAATTTTAATTAAATTTGTTTTTATATCTTTGTCAAATTATATTACGAACAGCCTAATAGTAAAATAAATTAAACTTCCTTTGTTTTTATGTCCTGTTAAAAACGTAATGGTGAACACATGAATGTTCAAAAAAAAAAATTACCTTGCAATTTTTAAAAATATATTTCTGGTAAAACTTATATTCTAAATACTCTTATATAACGTACATGCTAAATATAAGTTTACCTTCTCAGGCTAAGAAAAGCTATAAGAAATGTATAATACTAATATTCATTTAATTTATTAATTTAGTAAATGATAATCCTAAATATTGTTTAAATATTGAACTTTATTTTTGTATTTTCTCTCATACACACACACACACACACAGCGATTTTCCAAGCGTAGCCCAAATGTGGCACAAGGCCGAAAGTTTGGGACACCCTTTGAGGATCGTACTCACTACTCTGTCGCAATTTTTCTAGCAAGAAATATATATATATATATATGCAGGGAAAAAAACTTTGCAGGCTTAGCATTACGTGTCGTATTAGTTCTCAAAGTGCCTGCTTGGCGACAGTGGCGGACGGACCATTCTTTTGTAAAGAAAGACTGGTCTACAATATATAAAGTACGATACGTTTGTGCTTGCGTGAGAAAGTAGCTGTCAGAAATCTATTATTTTTGTTATTTTGATCAATATATCTAAGTATATATTTATTTATGGCACATACATGTTTATAGTATCTACATTATGACCATAACTACTGGTAGTTAATATACTGGTTTTAAAACTCAAAAATAATCCCTTACCATGTCCGGACAATCGGCTGTAACGGACAACCCATCCCCCACCTATGATTCCCTTATATATATATATATATATATATATATATATATATATTGAACGCAATCTTCAAAACATAAGATTGCTCTGAAGCATGAAATACTCTTGTCGATTGTTGATCTCAGTGCCCACTTTCATATTTAGATATGCTACTTATGACGTTGAGTACTCTTACCCATAAATATAACATGGCTTTAAGTATAATTTTAACACTAACCCACACGTGTGTGAATGACGGAAATGAAACCAAATAAGGAATAAAATCAATAGAATAATGAAAATAATAAACGTTTATAAACTTAACATGTTTCAGTTTTTGGTAAATGATTTTCGAAAGAGAATACTCCGGTGTTTTGAGTTCTGTTTGTTTTTCACTGATCTGGTAGATATCATGTTTTTGTCTTGTGTATGCACCGCGCGCGTCGGGATTCTAGTGGGAATTTTTGTGTGCACTTATTTCCATATGAGTGATTTCAATTCAAATTACCTAATGGTCTCCCGCCTCAAGTTTTGATATTTTAGTCGATGACATCCTGTCTAGAGACGAATCCACACTGAAGATATTAGCTTAATTGAACAGACCGTTTCGAAGTAACGGTAAAATGAAATCTGCACGTTGAGACCAGCAAGCATATTATTGATATTTAAGAATATATCATGCTGCAATATGGTACCTCTCTAATTTTACACGCAAATAACGCATTTCTGGCTCCAGTTACAGATCTTTCCCATAGGGCCAAATGCCGAAAACTTCCCAAAATATACGTGGTTTGTTATGGAGTAAATTCAGTAAAATGCTTGGTCCCTATAAAATTGCGGTCATCTCTACGGGAAGTTGAATTGATGGACCGATTTCAAATTTCAGTTTCGTCTGTTGCATTCATTTTCACGCTAATATCTTTTGGAAATGCCTTAACTCCGCCTATCAGCCATTGTTTATATAACAAGATAGATACTCTTTAGACTTCAATAGAAAGCACTGTAAGCGAAAGACTGAATTCATAACCATGGCGGTGTCAAACGTGAAAACCGCTCCACTATAGATTAAAAAAAGCGATATGCTAACAAATATGATTGGTCACGCCTGTGAGATATGGGTTTAAAAACAAAAGTATTGAAAATCTTTTAAAGGGGACCCAAATTCAACTTACGAAATAAAATATGAGCAAAATAATTAATCAATACAAAATAAGCTTAATGGTTGCTGGCGCGGAAATTATAATCGTTTTCTCACTAATGCTCTTATGAAAGGCATGTATATCCACACTTTACTTATTTGTTAAATAAATATTTTAGACTGAGTTGTTTAGTAAAGGATGCCAACCAATTTAGAATAACTACACTGACTTCGAAGTCATGGAAGAAGCAATGGGAAAACTACTCTACTATATTTGCCATAAAATCACAGCTTTTCCATGTAATTAAAAAACGGAATTCCCGGAAGAAAGATTGAATTAAAGAAAAGCTTAATAAAATATTTAAAATTTTTAACTAAGAGTGGCAATCTGTTGATAACCATGATTGCTTACATCCTGAATAGAGGTAATGCTTGGTATTTCATGTCGGAAACATTTTGGGTATTTAAAATAACTTTTTTGCATAACAAAAATAAGTTCAGTATATGTTTATATTTCTGAGATGAGGTATTATGTACATTATTTGGACTATTGTCCTCATCTTTGTCACCATATTTATCACAACGTTTCGGCTGTTGTACGCTTCAGCCTTCTTCAGGTTGTTGGACTGTCGAACTGAACCCTTTATTTCGCTCACTGGGGTAGACTGTTCTAGTTCCACGTGCCATGTTTAATGGATGTCACTTATATCATGTTTCTACTGCCTTAACCGAGTATTGAACTCGCACTCTTTGGGTCCTGTCACTGGATCTAACTAACGCCTTTATCCACTGTGCCATGTGTCCTCAAGGATAAAATAATTTCTTGTCACAAAACAAATAATTTACTGGAAACAATCTTAAAGAAAAGAAAAACAAATATATTTAACATCACTTTAGATAAATTTTGAACTCTTTGAAATAATTTTATCGATTTTCTTTTTAATCGAGTACCGTTGTGATATTTCGGCGGGAGATACTCAGTCCTGGCTTTCCAGTTTCGATAGAGTCTTAAAGCGTCTCAAAATCTTTGTGGGTGACAGATTATTTTCCAACCTCTCTCTGACAGAGGGGATGTGGCAAGCCTCTCACTGCTCAATCGCTACTTCAATGAAAAGTGCTCGGACGAACTGCATTCCCAGCTTTCGGCAGTTCAAAGCTAGGATCAGTCATACCACTCACAATATAGTAACCATTCACAGTTCCACTCGAACAGCTTCTCTCCGCCAACCACTGCTCTGTGGAACCGACTCCCAAAGGATTTTTCTCCCCGATCGCTATAACTTGTTCAAATCTAGAAGTAACCGTTCTCTCTTTATCTTTCCACATAAACTATTTCTTAATGTAGCCATCTACCCCGAGTGGTCCCCCGGCCTTGTACAAGGTGAACCTTACTGTAAAAAAAAAATAAAAAAATAAAATAAAAT